TTGTTCAGCTGGGAAAACTCACATACCATTAAAGAATATTTTTTAAAATTGGCTGCAGTGTTAGAAAATTATTTAGTGATTTTACTCAATTGTTCAAGAGATAAATGAAATTTTAAAACAAAAGGTTGTGATGAAGGGTCCTCATCAACCTGAAATTTTGAGGTGATTTTCTTTGGTGGTGGGGCAAACTTGGTGCCCCTCACTCACTTGAGAGGAAGTCCTACCTCATGGAGTTGGTGGCATGCTGGGATATCATTCCCCAGAGTCAATGTTCTACGGCCCTCAGACACAGGGAAGTCTAAAACTTTGTGGTAAGTAGGCCACTCATTAAATGTTTAGTGGCCTCAACTGGGATGAGGACAGGTGGGTTGCTTTAGACCTTGTTGGTTTCCCTGTAAAATTGCAGAAAGGTTGGGCATGGTTGGGAGGATGATGGGAAGACCCACTCAGAGAATTTGACCAAACCTCACTCCACATCTGATGCTACATCACCATGGAATATTTCTAGCATTTTCTGTTTTTATTCCAGACTTTCTACATCTGTTATTGAAATGTTTTCTCATCATAGCTGCAAGCATCTCAGCTTTGTTAAATACAACATAGCACTGTACCCCCATTACCTTGCACTGCCTTACTGCGTCATTCAGCACTAAACCACCAGCTCTTTATTTGCATACACTTAGCACTGTTATATGTTTCACAACAAGAACATATCTCTCCCACAATTTTTCAGCTGTTGCTCATGATATTCCCGTTGTGCAAACACTGTACAAGATTCTCAATAACTTATCCCCTGTTTCTATTCATTTATGGTATGTGGATGGAAGTAGCTGGCTAGGCCAGCATTTAATACTGCTTCTTCATTGCCCTTCAGAAGATGGTGGTTAGCTGGTTTTTGAACTGCTGCAGTACTTCCACTGTAGTGGTGCCCAAACGGGAATTCCAGGGCTTTGACCCATTGAAGGTGAAGGAACAACAATATAGTTTCAAGTCAGGATGGTGTGTGGCTTTGAAGGGAACTTGTAGATGGTGGTGTTTCCTATGCATCTGCTGCACTAGTTCACCCAAATTGTAGAATTTGCTGGTTTAGAAAGTGCTGCCAAAGGAATCTTGGTGAGGCATGGAAATGCAGGAGAGGGTTGCATATAGCACTGGATTAACAGGCTGGCACTGAGTGAGGGAGATCCTGCTGGAACACATTCTTCCTCTTTTGAAAAGCGTTGGTCAGCTCATTATGGATAGGGGAAGACTGGAGACTGTGGCTATTGGTAACAGTGGAAGAGATACAAAGATAAGATATAGGAACAAGGAGAAGCCATTCAGCATACTTAATATCAGAGGGAGTTGAGCAGTACCCAGTATAAAAATAGCTATGCTGTTATCCTGAGACAAGATAGCACAGGCTATTAACCTGAGGCAGTACTATTAGAATTCTGAAGGCCCTGTTAGGGCATGGGAGTGATGTAACGTTCTGAAGTCCCTTTTAACACTGTCCCCTAAAGCCATGATACAGTCATCTGAGCATCCCATACCAGTTGTTTACATGAGGCTGCAGCATGATGATGCATTCACCTATATGATTTCACTTGTGGCCCTAACTTAAAGGAATAACATTGGCATTCTGTAATCTTCCAGGGGCTCAGCTGTAGCAAAAGAGGATACAAAGATCTCTGACAAGCCCCCAGCAATCTCCTCCCCTGTTGTATTGTAGGATAGATCCCATCAAGCCTCGGGGACTTATCTGTCTTAATGTTTTCCAAGACACCCAGGAACACCTCTCCCTTAATATTGACATGCCCTAAATTACCCCTTGCTAACCTTACCATCATCTATGCCCTACTTGATGAATACTGATGAAAAGTAATCATTAAGGACCTCACCCACTTTCTCTAGCTCCACACGTAAATCCCCTCCTTTGTCTTTGAGTGGACCTACCCTTTCCCTAGCTACCCTCTTGCTCCGAATATATGTATAAAATGCTTTGGGTTTTCCTTAATCCTACTTCCAAGGACATTTCATGGCCCCTTTAGCCCTTCTAATTCCTGGTTTAACTTCTTTCCTGCTTCTTTTATGTTCCTCAAGGGCCTTGTCTGAGTTCAGTTTCCCGAATCTTACATATACTTCCTTTTACTTTTTGACTAAGCTTTCCAAATATCTCTTGTCATCCAGGGTTCCCCAATCTTGCTATCCTTATCTTTTATCCTAACAGGAACATGCTGATCGACTGGCCTTTAAAATACTTCCACATGTCCAATGTGGATTTAACATCAAACAGCCATCCCAATCTAATTGTCCTAGTTCCTGCCTAATACTGTTATAATTAGCCTTCCTCCAATTTAGCACTTCCACCCAAGGACCAGTCTTATCCTCATCTATAACTATCTTAAAACTTACAGAATTACGATCACTGTTCCCAAAATACTTCCCCACTGAAACATCAAACATGCAGCCAGGCTCATTCCTCAATACAAATAAGTCCTTCTAGTTGGACAATTTACATATTGGTTGAAGAAACCCTCCTGGATGCACCTAAAAAAGTTCTGCCCCATCTAAGCCCCTGGCACTAAGGAAGTCCAGTCAATATTGGGGAAATAAAAACGCCGACTGCAGCAACCCAGTTGTTTTGCCATCTGTCCATGATCTGCCTACAGAATTGTTCTTCTATATCCTCCTGGCTGTTGAGATGCCTATGGTATAACCCAATCATGGTGATTGTGTCTTTCTTATTCCTGAGTTCTACCCATATGACCTTGTTGGTTGAGCCCTCCAAGATGTCCTGTCTTTGTCTGTAGCTGTAACATTCTCCTTACTCAGTAATGGAACACCCCAACCCGTTTTACATCCCTCTGTACCATGCCTGAAAAACCTAAACCCTAGAACATTGAGCTGCCAGTCCGGCCATTCTGTCAACCCAAATTTCTGTAAAGGCTACAACATCATTGTTCCATTACTAATCCAGGCTCTAAGCTCATCTGCTTTATCTGTTATTCTCCTTGCATTCCAACAAATACATTTCAGGCTATGAGTCTCGCTGTGTTCATTAATCTGACCTCGCCTGTTCTTCCTTTCAGATTTACTTTAACGTTGACCATCTCCTCAATTACTCCACATGTAACCTACTACTTGATTTCCCACTTCTCTGCTACACTAGTTTAAAGCCTGCCTAGTGGCATTAGCAAACCTTCCTGCAAGGATATTGGTGACCCTCCAGTTTAGGTGTAGCCCATCGTTATGGTGCAGGTCCCTCCTGCCCTGGAAAGATCCCAATGATCAAGATATCTGAAGTCCTTCCTGCTAACCAGCTCTTTAGCCACACATTCAACGGTATTATCTTATTTCTGGCCTCACTAGCACATGGTACAGGGAGTAATCCTGAGATTACAACCCTAGATGACCTACTTTTGAACCTTCTACTTAACTCTCTAGATTCCTTTTGCAGGATCTCATTTATTTTCCTGCCAATATGAACCACAACCTCTGGTTACCCACTCTCTTTCAGAGTGTCCTGGGCCTGCTCAGAGTCATGCTTGACCCTGGCACCAGGGAGGCAACACACCATCCTAGAGTCTAGCTCACAGCCACAGAAACACCTATCTGTGCTCTTGACTACAGAGTTCCTTATCACTATTGCTCATTTACACTTTGACCCTCTCTGCTGTACAACAGAGGCAATTGTGGTGCCATTGATCTGGCTGCTGCTATTGTTTTCTCTCAGGGACCATCCCCCCTCAACAGTTTCCAAAACAGTACACTTGTATGAGAGGGGAATAGCACAAGGGACTCATGCACAGCCTGCCTGTCCCTCCTGGTGGTCATCCATCTATCTGTCTGATCCTTTGGTGTGAGCACATTTCTGAAATTCCTATCTGGAAAATGTTCAGCTCCTGTATGCTCTTCAGTAAATCCAGCTGCTGCTTCAACTGATCACCATGTCGTCTGAGAGGAGCTGTAGGTGGACACACTTTCTGCACACATTGTAGTAAGAGAAATTTGACTTTTCCCTGACCTCCCACGTCTCACAGGAGGAGCACAGCACTCCACTAACTGCCATTATTATCTCTCTAATAACTATTGGATTAAAAGACCTTTCTTTGCTGTACCTTAATGCTGCTCACTCCCCCTCAGTGAAGCCAGATGCTCATCAAAGTTTGCACTTTGACCTCACAGCCCCTCTCCAAAACTGTCCATCTCAAAATGGCCACTCCAGCTACAGCTTTTCCTCCTTTTATATGTTGCTGTTTAGAAGGAAAAACTCTCTGTTTGATGGTGTTCTTCTTGTTGAGCACTGGGTCCTGTGCAGTCCCTTCTCAGTCATGGTGAGCAAGCTGACTTCTCCCAGAATCCTCCTCAGTCACTTCTCACCACCTCCCTTGTAGATCAAAATTGCCAGGAAGGTTTACTTATATTGAATCCTCTTTGGCTGTCCCAATTCCAACTGAATACACAAACTCTGCTTTCAACACCCATTTCTCTCTCCTTGAAAGTAGCAGTTTCACATAAGGTGCAGTCATGTATCAGATGCCATTGGTGCTAGCTGGTTGAGGTCATACACTGTCTCTGTTGCAAGGACTCTGATGTTGGCTTTGTGGGTTCCAATTACTGAAGGAGGCTGATAGACTAGCCAGCATTTCCTAGAGCTTATCTGTCAACAGGATTATGTTGTCAAGCATGTAAAGATCCAACTCAGTCCTGTATCAAAGTTTTGCTCAGAGAAGGGAGACCATTCCCCACAATGCTACAATGAACTGCATCACAACAGAGCATCATATAACATTGTTGCCATGTGACCTCAATGGCTGCACCTCGGTTTTAGGAGTTGGTGTTGAAAAAGGCCCTTCCATAACAATACATCACTCCCATACCCTGTTCTCCTTACAACTGGCACAGTTAATACTAAGACACTTATGAAGCTCAGTTAGTTCTGTTGCCTGGATGACTGGTTTATGATGCAGGGTGAGGCCAACATTGTGGGTTCAATTTCCATACCAGCTGACGTTACTATGAAGGACTGTTCTCAAGTGTTCTCATATTTAGAGAAAGAGCAACAAGAGGACCTTCTAAGACTGCATAAGAAGTATGTGATAATCTGCAGAGATATACCTGGATGTACTACATTAGCTAGGTAGGATGTGGGTGAAAAAGAATCCTGATGGCAAAACACAGTATGGGCTTTCTGGAAATTTGTGTATAGCGTAGGAGCTGTATCTTTAGCACATTTGTTAATGAAATGAGTTGTACAGTTAGCAGTCTGCCAGGCAGCCTTGAAAAGCAGAAGACAATCTTAATAAATGAACCACAACGCTGTGCAACGCTGTCATGACAACTCATCGATTGTCAGTTCTGATGTGCCACAGCGAAAAACTGTAATGACCTCCTCAGAAGACAGACATGAGTTACGACCGATAGGGTACCCTTCATCGTCCAGTACTTCCCGGGAGCAGAGAAACGACGCCATTTTTTTCATAGCTTTTAACCCATTAGCAATGACGATGTGCATCTCGCCAAGACTTTCCCTATGCTTCCACTTCTCACCTTCAAACAACTGCCAAACCTTAAACAGACCATTGTTCGCAGCACTTAGCTACCCAGCTTTCACGACAACATCGACCACAACACTATACAACCCTGTCATGGTAACCTCTGCAGGACATGTCAGATCATTGACATGGACACTACCATCACACGTGGGAACACCACCCACCACGTATACGGCAGATACTCATGTGACTCGGCCAACGTTGTCTACCCGAGGCATGGTATATTGGTGAGACCATGCAGACGCTATGACAATGGATGAATGGACACTGTGCACCAATTGCCAACAGGAATAAAAACAGAAGTTGCTAGAAAATCTCAGCAGGTCTGGCAGCATCTGTGAAGAAAAAATCAGAGTTAATGTTTCGGGTCCAGTGACCCTTCCTCAGAACAGAAGAGTCTGTTCTG